AGTCCAGGGCCCTTATAAGAGAGTTGGAGTGCTGAGTTCTGAAAATGATTGATACGAGGAGCACTTGATGTGATCAACTTGTTGATCCTTCGAATCTAGGAAAAGAGGATTGATCAAATCATTATCAAACATATGTAGTGGTGGGATACAGATCGAAGGGGGTTTACCTTGGTGAGAGCACGTGGTAGAAGATCGGCTTCTGGATCTTGTGTTTTGTAGTCGGGGCCTTCATCTTCTTCATTGCTCTCGGCGTCTTCATCACGAGCTAAATCTGTGATTGGATTCACATCAGTAAGATGCGGTGCGCCAGAAACTTCGTTGTCCTTGTCCTCGAGTATAGTACCGTCCGAGAGCACTATCTTTGGGGGTGGTAAGCTGTCATCAGGCAAGAGTAAATAAAGTCTCTTTCCACAAGGGGCTGAGGGTTTTGTTTGGCCGGATCCAAAGCCAATCGTGTCCAATCCAGCCTTGACTGTGAGAGCCAATTTATGACAATAACATCGTATCTGATTTCGACTTGAGTTCCAATAGACAGGATCATCCGCATTCTTGAACATCTTTTCTAATTCTTTGGCTAAAAGAGGATTGCTTGATCCTGAGTCCGTTGTTTGAGCAACCATGTGTGACACGAAACCAAGGTAAGCTTTTTATCGAGTCAAAAAAACATCATTGATATGAAAGAATGGAAAGAACATATCTTTTTATGTAGTCCATGCCGTATCAGGAAACGTCCTACAGGGCGTGCGAGTAAAACTCCATAATGATTCCACGCTACAAGCTTAAGGGTCAAATGAACCATATGAAAATGAAAATCTTTGTCGATATATGACACAGCCACACCAATGAATGCTCGCTTTCCACCCTTTGTGGTCCAAACATCATGAACTACACAGATTTTGGATGATAGATCCTGGGAAACGAAGCCAAAGTCAAAGCCAAACAAGATCAACATCAGTTACACAATCAAGTGATCATATAGATCGAGCAAAACTTATCACCTGAAGAGTCTTGATCAGCTTGTGGTGGAACTCCTCAAAGTAGTCCATCGCCTTCCGAGCTGCCCACGAAGCCGTCCATAGCTTGGCTGATGGATTGCACAGCGCAAATGCAGCCTGAAGATACGGATCTTCCATACATAGCCAAGGAATGCAGTTGCGAAGAAGCCATAGAACTAACACTGCCAGCATTAAATAGGTTCCCTGGTCGGAACATGACCTAGGCTGGGAATATCATTGAGAGAAGAATGGAGCATCAAATCATCTTGCACTGCACATCTGAGCCATAAAGCATACACTACATATGTGCAAACATCTGAATAAATCCTTAGCTATCAGCTACATACAGGTCCGCTCAGTTATCTGCTCATCTAGATAAGAAAATCATGTGTAATACATGCTGTAACTTTGTTCAGATTGAGACACACATTTCAAAATATTGACTACATATATCACAATGGCTACTCAGGAAATATTGATGGAACTGTGTAACAGTAGCAGAATGGGAATCTGATCACTAGGACCCATATTCCCATCTGGGAACCTCTTTAATGCTGGCAGTGTAATATGATGTTGAGTAACGAAACTGAGAACTTTGGTAGATCAAGGAAACCATCAAGTGTGTGATTCTTCTGAACTTCTTCCTGAGCTTCGGCACGTGCTAACTCCGCCTGCTTGTCCTGCCAGGTTGGTGGGAGATTTGCCCCAGCCTCGACTGCCCGGTGGCGTTTTTTACAGTGATTGCGATTGAGATCACCATCTCGATGGCCAAGAAGATTCCAACGGCTTTTGCGGCCATCGGTGTATGCATTACCACACCACAAGCATTCACGGCACCTAGGTGGTTCGTTTTCTTTCTAAAGGATTTGTCAGATTAGATTTCTTGACAACCACGTAATTGAAACACTTCTACTTACTTGCTTTGGTCCATGTATAAGCTCCTTTCCAAAGTAGAGATTAATTGAATCAAATCCCTGTTCACCAGACTTGGTTTTGCCTTGAAACTCAATTTCTGAATCTTGGTCGGGGTCAATATTATCAGGAAGTTTATATAAAGTCTAATAGTACCATATAGTAGTCAGTCATGTGATGAATTTGTAATGAAACGATCAGACTTACATGTTTTTTCTTCCCACTTTTGGTTTTGGTTTTGGTCAAGGTTGAGGTTGAGGACTTTGAGGCTTTAGGCACTTGTCGAGTTCGTTTACCATCGGTTTGGGATGGTGTACTATTGAAAGAATTCTCTCCTGGCTCTTCATCTTCAACTTCTTCCTCCTCAACTTCCAATTCCTGATTATCTTTGTTGGGGTCGAAATTTTCATCATCTGAGTCTCCATCAACTACAACAACTGATGCTATATTATTAATTTGTGATTGAGTTTGATTAAGAAAACTAGTATTTGCACGCTTTGCAGACTTTGTGAAGGGGTTGGACTGAGATGACAAAGTGGAAGACTTGGGTTTCTTTGAAAGTGGAGCTTTTGATTTCTTAGAAAGGGGTCTACGTAAAGTCATTTTGAGATAATATGATATATCTAAACAAAGATAGTGGCTAGAGATTTATTTGATAATTCAGAAGGTGGTGGTCTATCGAGCAAAAGTGAGAGGAATTTGAGGTGAGGAAGATCTCATGAAAGAGCAAGAGAGCGTGAGTGAAGGAGGAGACATCAAGAGACATTTCCCAACTCTCATTTTTCTCCCTATGTAATAGAGTTTTGGAGGATATTGGGGTAATATTGGACAAGATTCTAGCCCAATGGATAATGGATGGGGCCCAGGGGGCGCAGTTTTGATCAATCCCATAGCCACTGTGGTGCAAAAATGCGCAGTGGTCAAAATCAGAAAACCCACTACGCTGGGGGTAGGCGCAGTGGGGAAAATTCTCAAAATCCCCGGCGCTTGGCCACAGCGCATGCGCAGACTGCGGCGCGCAGGGTGCGCTGGAAGTCAACCGTTGAGAGGAGGTTATACTTGAAGAAAATTCTATGTGGAGTCAAGAAGGAATTTGGCGTAATTTAGAGGAATATTTAACAACTTTAATAAGGCCAAAGGATTGTGAAGATGCTGAATTTCAAAAGATTAAGAGCAAAGTACCTTTATTTTACGTGGATGGAAACAGGTTAAAGAAAGGAGGAGTGCCTCAAGGAAGATTGGTAATATCAAGAATTGAAGGACAAGAACATATATTAAAGAAATTACACGAAGAATTGGGACTTAGAGGTATTGAAGAAACTTACAGAAGGTGTTTAATAAGATTTTGGTGGCCTGAAATGAAAGAATCAGTTAGAAATTGGGTGGTATCATGTGAAGAATGTCAGAAGAAAAGTTCAAAGAAAGAGAAAGAAGTGGGAAGAGCTACAGGTGAAAATACCGTGTTTGGAAGAGTCAGTTTGGATGCTATTCATATTAAAGCTGGAAGTCATGACTATGCTATAATTGCAAGGGATGATTTATCTGGGTGGGTAGAAGCAGCACCTTTAAAGAAATTAACAGCTACAGCAGTAGCCAAATTTATTACAAAAGAGTGGATAATGAGATATGGGTCCGTGAAATGTTTTACAGTTGATGGTGGATCAGAATTTAAAGGAATATTTAGAGAAGCAGTTACTATGGCTGGATCAAAAGTG